TTGTTACTCTTATGATTAAAATAACTATTTTATGTATTGAATTAAATTTTTTAAAACTTAAGTGAACTATATATAAAATTTTTCATTACCAAAGAAAAAAAACCTTAAAAGTAGTGGGCAGGTCAATGAGAAAGGAAAAAAAGAATATTTCCAGGAAGGTGCACAATAAATGCCACACAACTATGAATGAGTATGCACAGTCATCATCAAGAAATGTCCTATCATTAAATATTTGAGTGGATTGTAGACAGAATAATAAACTAATGATTTGTATATCTACATAAGTGCACAAGTATACTTTTTATTTCATTTTATATCTCAAAGAGATTATATATATATTAAAAGATTAATTACTTAATATTATAAAAATTTAAATTTTTTATTTTCATTTTAAATTAAAAATTTTAAATTAATGAATATCAACTCTACATATAACATATATAACATAAATAAGCACTTATTACCTTAAGGAAGGAGTTGAAGTATTTTGGACACTTACAATAACCAATTTAGATAGGCCAAAGCAAATAAGTAGTAGGAGCAAATCTGCAACCCTGGCTCTTCCAGATGAGGGGCGTTGAAGCTGATGGATATTTTCTGCAAGAAAAATATGAGTGATTTAAATATCATCACTAAAAAAAGGTTAAAACTCTTGTTTGGTCTCTATTTTTTTATAAATCTCTTTTTAGCCTCTCAATTATTGTACCATGCTTCTTCTTAGTTTCTCAACTAAAGAAATTTCTTCTGTAGTCCTTTAAAATTAATTTTCTGACTCTTTTTGGTTAAGTGCTTATTTGGTATTGTTTCTCTATTAAAGTCAGATTTAAATTTAAATTGATATGCTCACATGTGAAGATATGTAAAAATTATATTTAATTTGGATAAAAATACTGCCATGAAAAATGGGGACTTATTTGGATATGTTGAAAAATTGCTTTTATGAAAAAATTAGGCACAAATTATGAAAATACCATATTAGCCTCTTCTTCCTCTCCTATTGCTCCTCTCTCCTGCCACTTTCATTACGAACTCTTGGATGAGTCATGAGTGGAGATGAATTTTGGGTTTGGTTAGCAATGAAAAGAAAAACCAAAACGTTAAACATTTTTGGATTTTCATTTTCATGACGAAACCAAACAAAAGATTTGAATGGAAAATGTTTTGTTTGGTTGCTCAGAATTTGTAGAGGGC